CTACATATTTATTACATGTTTTATTACATACATACTACATATTTATTACATGTTTTATTACATACATACTACATATTTATTACATGTTTTAATACATACATACTACATATTTATTACATGTTTTAATACATAAATTAATACATACTACATGCTTTAATACATGACTGTACAAGATGCCAACACTGTTATGTAAAGCTGTTCTTCATGAAGAAGCTCTGGGAGGAAAAATGTTTAAACTGCATCATTAGAAGGTTCAGGAGGACAGAAATGGGACATATTAACCTGATATGTTAAATTATTTGTTCAGTAACAGATTATATTCACTGGTGCCTAATTTCAATWGTTTTATTGACTGAATAAGATATTCTACATACTGTATTTCCTTGTTTCCCTCACAATGTTTCTGAATGCCAGTAATCAAGTGTTCATAATAAGGGTAAAACATGATTCCTAAACCAGATCCCATGACATCCTAGCACCGTTCAGGAATTCATAGATTATCTCACAGTAGTAGAATAAATCTGGTTCTGAACAAAATCATTATTTTTAATTTTAAACTGAGAGTTTGGAATTTTCTAATGAATGGGATTTAACATGATATGTGTTGAAGATCCAACCTCAACATCTCATTTTTCAGGGAGGAGCTGTGCACTAATYAACAGCCTGAAGACAAACATTGGAACAACTTAGACAATCATAAAGACAAAATCTGTGAGGATAAAGTCATAATGATTTGACATTTTAAGTTCAGGCTGGAGATGGGTCCYTGCTGCTGAATGCTCGTTTCTCTTTTTTTAGTCTGAACTCGAGGCCTGGTGGTGAGTTCAGACAGTAAAATGAAAAAAATCATAAACAGTTAGTGTTTTAGCAGCAGTTGTAATAACACATTTAAAAATCAGAACTGTTTGAACTGAGCCTTGTGACTCTGTTCATCCTCAGCACAATTCTGCTTCTTTTTCACATCTTACGCTCAGTCTGTGTAAGAGTGTTCAGCAGCCGTCTTAATTAGTGTTAAAGTGGCATGACAGGACTAAATGAGGGTAATCCAACACCTCATAAAGTCTGCATCATGATGTGTCTCCCAGCAGCTGCAGAAGCCCTCGGCATARGGCCGCCTGCTTTGATCACCATCGCTGATAGGCCTCTCCATCATCTGTGACACAAAGTGCCTCAGCAGCCAGCAGCCACGTCATCCCTCATAAATATTGACTAGCTCCGTCTCCTTCCACGTGTTCATGCAAATCAGCGTTACATTAGCAGGATCTGACCTGCACAGCAGCGCCTTATCAAAGTGCTCTGTGATCCCCGGCTTCTTACACTTTAGTCTGAAGCGGGGGGAAAAAGAGACGACCTGTGTGAGAAAGAGACAGTTCCCCCCAGGAGAGAGAGGAAGAACGATGAGCTACATGATAACGAGCTGTGTTACACGGCTGCGCAGCGCACAGCCTTGTCTCTGTGCCTCCGAGCTGCTCGCAGCTAAATGGGCTGCAGCAGCAGATGTTTGGTGACTACATCACACACAGCTGCGTACCTCACTTGACTTGCAAATATTTGCTAAGTGACTTCAATCTTAGATTTTCTTTTTTTTTCTCTCCCTTTATCCCATACAACATGAATGCACAGTGTGTTTTCTTTGCTCCAGCCTGTGATTGGCTGATCTGTCAAAGCCTTACGTTGTGGTCACCACATCTAACCATCATTAACTAACTGAGCCTGTTCTCTTCTAAAACATGGACACTCCTGTTTTACTGAGACTAACAAGCATTTTCAGCTTTAGCATCATCTCCTTCTGTTCATGATCAATAACATATGCTTTGATTTTTCTACTGTTTTCCTGCATTAAAATAGGAGTTTTGCATAAATGTTATAACATATATAATACCTGGACAGGACAGGCAAGACTCCATGCGACCTTCAGGTGAAAATGAAGACCCCAAACCAGTGGTTATTCCGTATGTTGTGGGTGTTTCAAAGAAACTGAGACGTTTATTTTCTAAACATGATATCCCAGTGGCTTTCAAACCTCAAAACACATTACGGCAAAGGCTGGTTCACCCCAAAGATCCGGTGCCCCGGCACAAACAGAGCAATYTTGTATATGCTGTTAAGTGCCAGGAGGACTGCGACCAGTTATACATCGGGGAAACAAAGCAGCCACTGTTCAAAAGAATGTCCCAACACAGACGAGCTACATCTAATGGCCAGAACTCTGCAGTTTTCACTCATTTACAGGCCAGCGGTCACTCTTTCAGAGATGAGGATGTTCTCATTCTTGATAGAGAGGAATGTTGGTTTGAGAGAGGAGTAAAAGAAGCCATTTTTGTGAAGAAAGACCGTCCATCATTAAACAGAGGTGGAGGCCTCCGTTTTCAGTTGTCCCCCTCCTACAGCGCTGCTATTGCCAGTATCACTCCACCCCCTGTTAATAATAGGTGTTAATTAGGTGTCAACGATAGCCATGTGATGTGAGTGTCAGTCACATGGAGGCAGGGCTTAAAAGCCTGAATTTTGCCTGAAACTCTCAGACTGAAGAAGTCTCTTGGAGGAGAGACGAAACGTTTCATTAGAGAAGAACCCGTCCAGAAGACCTATACAATTTTTTTTCTTTTTGATTTTTTACCTGGATTACTGAGATGCATCAGGAGATATAATACCTGCTTAATCATTAAAAAATACCCTAATATATAAAACAGTCAGATTCTATCTGTTTCTGGCAGTGGTGGGCACCAGTCCGCTGAAGCACAAATCCACTAATTGCTGACCTAAATATTTCATTTACGCTTTAGCGGTCTTYCTAATTTTTATAGCTCACAAGTGGATTTGCGCTTTCTAAAATTAAAATACAGTACCACTAATAACCAATTACCTACCAGTCATCCTTATCTTGAACAGTGGAAGGTATGACTATCAATGAATCACAACACACATGATCTATCCAACAGCACCCCTCCCAGAAAAACACACTTTTTGGGAAGGTATACATCCTGCTGACTGTTGCTTTGGGTCACGGTTCTCATTTCCCACAATGCTTTGTGTCTGCTTACGTAGCASGAAGGCAACAGCAAAAACAGTTAACGTTTGTAATCCATGCTAAAATTTTGTATGTATTAATTTATTTTACTTTACAATCGGAGCTCAATACTTGACATAATTGGTCGAAGCAACGGGGTCAGAAATGATTTAAAGATGTTATGCTATGAAGACTGACATCTAGTGGTCAACTGGAGCAACTACATGGAAAACTTTAAAATCCAAGCTCTTATTTTGAAGGGAAGACAGTTTCCTGTACTCGGTGCTTTTGTTTCCCGTCACAAATCAAATCTGTCATGTACCCAGAATGCATCACTTCATTTTTCCAATAAACAGTTTTAAAATTACTTTATTGATGCTTCTTTAATGAAAAATCTACAACAAACAAAAGAAAAAGACAAAGAAGCAGCCGAACTAGCAATCCTCAACAACTTTTTTATTTTTACACCAGGATCAAAGGTCTGTTTCATGAAATCATTTCCCCAGCAATCTGCGGTTGTAGGAAGAAATTGTAAAAGAGTTCATACACCACTTGTTGGCAGTGTTGTGCACATATTGCACATGAATAATTGCCAGCTAGTAAGTGTGAAATTGAACTTTCACTTTATAATTAGCTTTCGCTAGTTTTTGTATGGCATAAGTGCTTTTGAAGTTGTGTATCTAAATATTTTCATAAGCGCTTTAGAAATTGCGGAGCTAATTTTTGGATTAGCTCTGCCAACCACTGGTTTCTGGGATCCAGACCCACTAATCTCTGTCACCTCGCTCAGATCTGATGTGTAGATAAATGTTTTCTTACAGAACAGCCTTAAACACTGAGAGTAAATATAGATTTCACACCCTGACATTCAGTTTTATATGCCATAGATTTTTTTATTTTTATTTTTTTTTGCTATGGCTTCTGCATGATGAGACAGTAGCTAAAGGATCTTTGAAATGCTCCTCTAAACCTGTGAAAAAAAGAAAAGAAAACTGCTATAACATCCCCTCTGAGSACAGGGTGGTTTTAGATTAAAACTGTTGCGGAGAAATATATTGTTTGTATTCCCTTAAGCAAAGTAAGGCTTAAATTCTTCCAACACTCTGACTCTAACACATGGCAAGATATAAAAAAAATCAAATTTTTCTCAGTTTATGTTTTTTTTTTCATATTACATTCAGTAATTAGAGAAAAACAACCCAAAACAGGCTAAAAATGCTTCCTGTGTTTTTTTTTTTCCTGTTTTCAAATGATTTTTCCTGGCATGAAACTGGCAAACAATGATCCAAYCACATGAGTTAATGTAGTTGTGTTTTTGTTGTACAAACTAGCATTTTTATTATTTGTTTTAATGAGATGTTTGTTGCAGCAGGCAATTAGGCTGAGTGGGATCTCAACAGGAACTAATGAATGGAAAGAAGAAGCTGCAGTGAAAGCAACAGATAGCTTCTCCTCTGTGGAACAGTTTACTGGATCAAAATGTGGAGAACTTAATACCACAGGTCACTGGACTGCCTTAGGTTTGCTACAGATTGTTGCAGAGCCATTTGAGAGGTCTTAGATGTTATAAACACAGGCAAAAATGAGTGGAAATGTTTTCCCTGTGTTCATGTCTTCATCTCCTCCAGCATTTATTATTGTAGTGGAGGAGTTTGTGMGCCTGAAGGATTCAAMGATCTGTGCTGTAGGGTCTTTCAAGAGGCAGATAGGACATAAATAAAGAAATCATTTGCTGACCTTTGCACGGATTTGCATGTCTTCCTTGGAGCAAACTGAGTCTGGTGACTTTAGGGTAAATTCCAAAACTGGGCTAAGGTCGCCAAATGTAGCTAAAAAGCTCTGCTTCTCCAGGGATGYACAAAATCGACCCTGAGTTCCTTAAGGCTCTGGATGTTGCTGGGCTGTCTTGGTTGGCATGGTTTTGAAGCATCACATGGTCATTGGGTCGGGGGCAGAACCACTGGACTGGCAGACTGTTGTGGTGTGTTCTCTTTTTCAAAAACCTCACAGTCATTCAGGTTTTTATGTCAAATATGTCACTGATTGGATTCACCAGTTGCATGGATAAATATAACTGAGGATCATCAGCATAACAATGGAAATTTATCCCATGCTGTTTAATAACTTTACCTAATGGAAGCAAGTAAAGAGGATTGGTCCAAGCACTGAACCCTGAGGAACCCCATGACCGAAGGCTCTGTAACACAATAACATTTTAGACAACTTGTGAAAATTTTGCAACGACTGAATTCCTCATATAGTTTAAGTTATATATTCAGTCTAATTGTTAGTATTGCAGTATTTTTACATCAAAAAGATACTTCTAAAATATTGATRATTACAATCATCATGGTAGACATCTTTAGTATTGGACATGTTCACAAATTGTCTAACCTGTTATGATGTGGCAAAGCTTTACCTTGGGTGTAGGAAGAAGATTCATTATTAACATGAACAAAGTGAAATCTATTAGATAAATGTGATTCAAACCATTAGGATCAATTGTATCGAATGCAGAACTGAGGTATAACAGGACAAGTATGGACACAAGTCCTCTGTGACGACGAGAGTGCTGTATATCAGTAACTTGTGGTTTGTCTGTATTGATGTCCAGTGGCTCTAATGTTTTTTCTTGATGTGTTTATTTCCAGTGTCTCGGTTTCTAATTACCTCCACGGGAGCTCTGTATATCCTGGATGTGCAGATGGAAGATGGGCTGTACAACTACAGGTGTATGACACGACATCGGTACACMGGAGAGACCCGACAGAGCAATAGTGCCCGTCTCATTGTTTCAGGTAAGATTCTACTGGTGGAAGTTTCCTGTTGACTCAGTGAAGAGTATTTGTTGCAAAGTTTAATTTTTATTTCACTTTTGCTCCTATATAGGTCAACAAAAATTGGACTTCATTTTGTTCAGCTGACAATTCCATCCTCTAACTTGTGAAATGTCTAAAATTATTATTTAGTTTTCAAACAAGRTCTTAGTCACATCGTTTTAATACATAGACAAAATGTTCATTTGAGCAGTGGCGGCTGGTGGATTTTTCTTGAGGGGGGGACTACAACTCTAAAATAGACATATCTCAAAAAGCAATCAAAATTGTACTGTTGTTTCACACCAGTGTATTTATTAAGCAAATCCAAATAATAAAACAGTCATGTAGATTTTATTTTTAGTACATAAATTTTACCCTTCCGTTACTGGGAAGCAAATTTCTTCACCACTCTGGTTAAATTCAGGAATGTTTTGACCAGATTCCTCTATAGAGCATGGTCAGTGCAGTGAGATGTGATGTTGTACCTGAGGAAAGTCTGGATTCTCCTCAGTGTTGAAGCTCCTCTCAGATTCAGCTGTGGTCAGAGGAGATGTGATGAGTTTTCAGCAGACTCACAGTCTCTGAAGGTGTCCTGCAGATTGTTCTACATGAAGAGCTGGTACAGAGCCACAGCAGCTCCTGAACTAGATCAGACTTCTTGGTCCTGTTCAGCTTTGGGTGAGCCTCCATGGTCTTCAGAGCTATTTCAGAGAACTGCCCTGAAGGAACCTGTCTGCCTGCAGCAGTGTAGCTCTGATCAGATGTTTTCTGAATGTCTCAAGATCTCACAAACCTGAAACAATAAAAGCACAAATTTAATTCAATACAGAGATGGCTACAAGTGAGCTTTCTAAGATATATTTAATATATAGAGAAC